GACTCATATCATTAAAACCATCTGACTTATTTTGCATTGAAGGAACAGTGACTTACTGACACAGATAAAATTTTTCTTCTGAGCAAAGCAGARCAGTTCTGACCAGATGCTCACATGGTCGTGTTTCTAGATACTGACATCACAAATTTATAAGAGCAAGTCTAGTCAAGACAGTGAGCTCATGTTCAAAACCTGAAATAAACTATTGAAGCCATGGCCATGATTTTCCAGAAGTCACTGGAAATTTAGCTACATCAGGATAAGAGCCTCAGTTTTATAGCATTGATGTCTACAGGACTTTTTTCACCTGCTTCATGTTTAGGCTCGAGGACGGTTATCAGTATCATGAATTCTACTGAGTCAGCTTCAAAACACGAAATGTTAACRTGACTCTGGATAGTCTTTCAAATAATGCTGTCAACATCATTCTTATCCTAACAAGTGCCTGGGATTAAGTCCAGTAATATTTAGTATTACTGTGTTTTTMGTAAGACTATATTGCTGGAAAGTAATTGGTTTCCTGATCTTTGACTTTACCAGGCAGTGGACTATTTGCATTTCCTGTAGTGTCCCTATTTGCTCTGGTTGGTACTGTTTTCTGATAGCTGCCTCTAGATAGCAGATGTTTACCCAAGCCTGTACTGGCTTTTAATTTCTATTACATTGTATTTAGTGAAAGGAGCTTCTGAAAAATCTTTCTCAGCATTGCAGCTTCCCTAACAAACCTCTGCTGTAACAAATTTTCTGAATGTTCTTTAAAAAAAAAAAATTTAAATTAAAATCATGGAAATTGTCTCCYCAGCTTACAGATTTCGGGACCATTGCAAACTCTTTTAAACTTTTCCCATACACACCTATTAAGTGCAAGAACAAATAAATAAAAATACCATATTCCTGGAGAAGGGATAGTTTCAATACTGATTTACTGAGGAGCCCCTGATAGACCTTCAGATAAGTCTTTAAAGTGATGATGCTGTAGCCAAGGACTTTTAAAAAAATCATTATAGCTACAGTTTTAATTGTAGTCCTACAGATTTAGCCTTATATAGCCCTATAAATGTAGCCATAATTGTACAGGTCTTTTATAACAAAGCCTACAGATCTGGTAACACAGAGCTGGCACTCACAATTTCATCAACTATGAAAATACAAGGGGAAAAAGGCACACCTCTTCCAAATCACATCCCTGGATCTCTGAAGCACTCCACAAAGAAATTTGTTCCAGATTTAAAATTATTCAGTATCTTCATTAATGAACTTGATTACATAAAAGAATATGCTAATCAAATATCCAGGCAACACTAAGCTGGGAAAGACYGGGTTGGAATTCAGAACTTCAGAAATCTGTGAAAAAAGCAGGATACAATTCTGAAAATGTAAGCACAAATTTCTCTGGTAACACTAATTGCAAGTCAGAGAATGATAAAATGGTGCTAGAAACTGCAGGAAAAGATCCAGTAGCTGTGACAACCCACAAGCTGGCACTGAGTCAGAGTTATCAATCTACTGGCCCTAGTAGGGTGTATAAATAGAACCAACCCTTCTCTCTAAAGAATATGAAATTTACTTTTCATGGCACTGCCAGTGCTACAGCTGAGCACTGTGCGGAGTTTTCATCGGATCCACATGGAGAAACCAGATGAACAGTGCTCTAGAAAACATGATCCCTGAGGATGGACTGACAGGTGAGTTTATCCAAAGCATCGCTCCCCACATGGAGCTGAGAGCCATCACGCTGGGACACGCTGTCYGGCCAGGGATCTGTGTCACAGCTGCAGGAGTTGGTGGCGAGGGCCTGGGTGGAGGCAGCACAACAGGACAAAGGAAATAAATGCTAACAAACGCTTTCTCCCATGGGAAAGGGGGCAGGGGTGGTGTGGACACATGCAAGTAGAAAGCATCAGCAGAAAGGCCTATTGCAGACTGAGGTGGGGACCTATTTAGAGCACTAGGAAATGGAGTGATATCCCTGAGAACATGCATACACTACCAGATGGCTTTCATCATCAGGTTTTAAAATGTACTTTTCAGTTTGAGGCTCCCTTAGAGCTAGAAGGACAGGTGGGCACATATTTCAAGAGATCTTTTACTTGCTATTATTCTCTTCAATGCTACCCTGCAAGTTTGATAGTGTGCTTTTCAGCTCTGTTATGGTTTRTTATAAAGGCCTCAAACTGTTAGCATGGATCCAGGCAGCACTTCAAAAGAACCAATGCCCATTTTAATACATTSCAGCTCATTATTAACTTTCATTTTTGTTCTAAGAGACAGATTTCACACTATGTGACAGTGATAACAAAGCAAAATGTTCCTCTTTCTCCACAGATAAATTTAGGAGACACATATGCTTCATAAAAGCTCCAGATATTCATTGGTAACACTCAAAGGCTTTGTAATTTGATTTGAAGAGTCAAGCCTAACCCATGACAGTTATTGTAGTAATAATGGCCAAATCCTCATTCATCAGTTTAGGACTACACTTTGTCCCTCAATACCATTACAATCTTGTTCATTGTTCAAGTATCTTCTACATTTTCTTTTTAAAATTGTAATAATAATAAATAGGGCTCCCAAATGGTGAGTTGTTCATTGAGGTCTTTGACTATGCCCAAAATCCTTATTTACATCAGGAGCRCCAAGATCCACATTATTTGGTACAAACTGGACAACTTAGACATAGCAAGCTTCTCCCTGCTTGCTATATTGAACTCCCTGACAGTTGAACTCCACTTCATCATTGGTTATAAAYCCTCTGATTAGCTCAARAAGTGGGCCCATGGGAATCTCATGTGGTTTAACAAGGCCAAGTGCCAAGTGCTGCAYGGRGSCCGGGGCAACCCCCTGTACTAACACAGGCTGGGGRATGAACAGATCCAGAGCAGCCCTGYCGAGGATTAGGGGRTGCTRGTGGGTGAGAGACTGGACATGACCCAGCAAAGTGTGCTCACATCTGCATGGTCAGCAGGGCAAGGGAAGGATTCTGTCCCTCTACTTYGGTGAGACCCCACCTAGAGTGCTGTGTCCAGCTCTGAGGTCYTCAGAACTGGAAGGACATCARCCTGCTGGAATGAGCACAAAGACCACCAAGATGATTAGAGGAAAGGTTGAGATAATTGGAATTGTTCATCTGGAAAAGACCTAATTGTGATATGCCAGTGCCTGAAGGTAACCTGTATGAAATATGGAGAGGGACTTCTTACAAGGGCTAATAGTGACAGGGCAAGGAGGAGCATCTTTAAACTACCAGGGTAGGTTTACATTAGGTATAAGGAAGAAATTATTTACTGTGAGGATGGTGAGGCACTGGAATAGGGTGCCCAGAGTTGTGGATGCACCATCCTTGGATGTGTTCAAGGCCAGGTTGGATGGGGCTCTAAGCAACCTGGTCTACACCAARGTTTCCAAGCCCATGGAAGGGCTTGGAAAGGAATCTTGAAGATTCCTTCCAAACCCTTCCATTTTCTGATTCTAGAGCTCAAAAGGCTTTTATGAACATACCAGTTATGACTTATGGCAAAGTTTGTTTTTGTTCTGAGGTATTTGGTGAAGCATTTTCCATACCACTYCATCCTTTCCATGCTTTCTGCACAAAGTCACTAAGGACAGCCCCAAGTTCTATACCACCCACTCAGGCAGATTAAATCCATCATGCCAGGCACTTGCTTCCTCCAGCTGTTCTTCCACCTTTCTTTCAAAGCTGTGATTTCTGGTACAGTAACAGCTCAGTTTACTATTTTTAGCACCCACTAGGACTGTACATTACCTGCAGCATGCAAGAGCAGTGTTACATTTCTCTTCAGTGAGATAGGGAAAAAAGACATACATACATTTATACATATTTATTGTATCTTTTTAAAAGTAGCATTTGCAGTTACTTTTAAGCATTCACCTCTCTTCTGTTTCAAATGTGCACTTACTGAGAGAAACATCTACTGGCTTCCAAGTCCAAGATTAATACCAATAATACATGCCTGAATCAAGCTTCATTGCTTGTTGGCAGTTCCTATCATCAAAACAGTATACAGTAAGAAAAGTGTAGAAAAGGTCTGTGTTAACCATTCAGAAATAAGCTGGGGCTGGATTAGAGTGATCACATCTTCTCCAGTTGAAGCACAATTTTCCTGAAGTTCATGTTTAATTTTTTTTCTTCTGCATCGTGTAGGTGGACAAGGCAGTTGTTTTTTCTACAGTAGCTTCATAAGTTGATAAGGTAATTAAGCTATTGGTAAGCATCCAAGGGAGGGCCACGAGCATGGTGAAGGGTCTGGAAGGGAAGCTGTATGAGGAGGGGCTGAGGTCACTCAGTTTGTTCAGCTTGGAGAGGAGGAGACTGAGGGGAGACCTCACTGCGGTCTTCAACATCCTCATGAGGGGAAGCAGAAGGGCATGTACCGATCTCTTCASTCTCGTTGACCAGTGACAGGACTTGAGGAAACAGCGTGAAGCTGAGTCAGAGRAGGTTTAGTATAGATACCAGGAAAAAGTTTTTCACACAGAGGGTGGKTGGGCACTGGAACAGGCTCCCCAGTGAAGTGGTGACAGCACCAAACCTGACAAAGTTCAAGAAGAGTTTGGACAATGCTCTCAGGCACATGGTGTGACTCTTGGGGTGTCCTGTGCAGAGCCAGGAGTTGGACTCAGTGATCCTGATGCGTCCCTTCCAACTCAGCATATTCTACTATTCATCTATAGGAAAACACTTGCTGTAGACCTTTATATTTAGAAATGTCTTCTCTTCATGTAACAGCAAGAAAATACTTGAAGTCTGGTATGTAGTTAAGAGAACTGGGAACAAACCAAATTTCATCCTCAGATAAACATATGTAACTACTATAGATTTCAATCTAACCCACGCACAAAGGTTTACACATACTACAAACAGAAACAGAAGGTACCAGCAAAAGATTATCCTTACATTGTTTCAAATTAATTTGCAACTATACAATTTTAATTGTAATATAAAAAGGGAAGGAATATAACAGAACAGGTATGAAGAGAAGTATTTTCCAAACTTTTATTTGTGCACATTCATCAGGTGAAAAAGATAACTTTTACAGCTTCTTTGGTGCCCAATATTCAGCATACAAAAATGTAAAAGACTATTCACAAATAAAACACAAGCTCAAGCTAAAAAAAAAAAAAAAGTCTTAAAGGTAGTGCACATCGTGACAGCTTTGCTTATGAATACACAGAAATTACTGCAAAAATAAATAGAATGTCTTTTTAAAAGCAGCAATTTCATATCTTGTAAACTTCCGTTTTTACAATACAGCACTGTTAAGAGTAAAATCCAAAAGAACTGGAGTCTATACTGTGGCCATGAGCAAGTAAAAGAGTCTGTATTCCTCTGCTATGGTTGGTCCAGTTTTCCTTTTTGCTTTTAGTCCAATGTGCAGCAGTCTTTGAAGGTGCTCGGTTAGGGACCCTAACCATCAARTGGTGAATTGTAAAATTTATTTCCTGCTTTCAAATACGAATGGATAGATCTGTTCCACAGCACTGGCAACAGCCTTTACGTTTGGCCCTGAGACACAGTTTAAAAGAAAAAAAAAAAAGGCAGTAGGAAGAGAAAAATCAGGGATTCAGAAATTAAACGAACACCAGTATCTTTAAAAAAACCTTAATATTATTAGCAATCACAGCTTTATACCATAGACAATAATTACTCCCCCATTTCCCCTAACTTAAGAAGGTTTTTCTCTGAACACTTTTCATATAAAAGTCTCTTCTTGTGAGTAAATCTGCAAGATGTTCTACATTGATCAATAGCTAGACTACAAATAAATAATATTGTCATTTAATTTCGTAACAACTGGACTGATTTTCAATTTGCTGGCCTAAACAACGCAGAGAAGAGTGGCAGAGGTGCAAGAAATTATTTTACTTCTGTCAGTCTTCTAGGAATCTGTGTTTCTTCAAGCCCTAGCCACTTCTAGCTCTTGCTTAAAAAACCTACTGACAAAAGCTACTATTAAATAATGCTGGATTTAGCGAAAGTCCATTTCAAGAAAGGTTATTTTAGGTTTGAAAATAAAAGACTATTACTTTCTATCCTGAGTTTTGCAAATAGCTTCATCATTGATCTCAGGACAAAACCTACAAGCCAGGGAATTCTTTTATCATCTCAGGATGAAGCATATGAAAGTTATTTAACATGACCTATGAGCATTCAGGCAAAGAAAAGGAAATATAACCTAGCAATGCTTTTTGGTGGTACTAGACCACTTTACACAATRAAAAATTAAGAAAAAATTGCAAGTAAGTGAACAGTAACATGCCAGAAGATACTAATTCTGGATAGAAGCTTGCTGATGCAGATAAAGGTCTCGCATGCTTTGATGAATGTGAACTCAGGTTTTTTGTAACCCCACTTCAGACTTCAAAAGTTTCTTCCAAGTATAGAGAACCGTTCAAAATTACTCCGAAAGCAATAACTTAAGCAAAAATTACTTAAGTAATTATTGTTTTACATGCTCAGTCAGAAAGCAAATGGACGAGAATAGGATTCTTCCTGTATTTTCAAACTGGTCAAGTAAAGCACTCAGCTAAAGTAAGTCTGGTGAAAGATACCTGTATTCTGGGTAGATACTGCACCCTCCTTAAATCTGGCTGCTATTAGGAATGAAAGTTCTCAAGAAASCCTTCAAAAAGTGAGAATGTGAATAAGCCAATTCTCTGTAAGGCTGAAGAGATGTAAAAACTGGATCATCATTCTAGAGCATATAAGAGAAGGAAAAAACAAAGCAAAACAAAACAAACCTCCTAAACAACCCCCTCATTACTCATTTTGGAATAAAAGAAATAATGTTTCATTCTATTACATGCTAGTGATTTTTACTGCCTTTTACCAATGAAACTAAACCTTTTTATACATGTCCCATTAAAAGAGCCCACCTTCCTGGGCTTTTTGTAACATTTCTAATTATGTATCTCAAATAAMATTCTCTGAGTCAGAGGTATTACAAGTACTACAGAAATATGAATCTTGAAAAGAATCTCGTCTGAATGCAATTGAGAAGGAGCGCAGTAAGGTTGAAAAGCAATTTAAGACATTTTTAGGATAAGATGTGTAAGACCCTGGACATTTCTTTTTCTCTAGAAGAGAGGCCGAGGCAAAGCAGAAGCTTTCAAAATCAACAGAGGTCCGAGATATTTCAAACTCACTGCAACAATGAAACCAGAAGGATGCAAAACTTTTATGTTTACCTTGATATTTGGAAAGAAAATTCTGAAAATACGAAAGCAATTGTGTAAGTAATGAAGTAATAAGAATCTTACAGAGAAGCTGAATCTCATTAGGAGGCTGACACGACACGCGGAGAGCTTTTCATTACTGCAGTGATACTAAGGCTTCTTATTTAAATTTAGTTTCTAGTTTTGGCTAGACCATTTGCTGCACCGTGCAGAACACACACTGCGATCTTGAAATATTTTTTAGCCCTTTACTTTTACATTACTGAATCGGATGGAATTTTGTCTTCTTTAGAAAAAACTTCTCCCAATATCTTGTGGGAAATGTTCTGCATAAACTTACRTATTTATTAAAGAATCAAGATGTGAAAATAAAAAAATCCTTACCCAGCTTTTGAACCAGTAGCTGAGCTCTAACAACTGTATGACATAATTCCTGCTAAAGCAAGACACAATGAWTTTTTTTGGTTTTGTAGCATTTTAACATGTTTCCCTGAAAAACCTGACTTCTTGTGCCTGGACACTGGTGGTGGACGTCTCACAAGCAAAAGAGGATGAAAAATGAAAATKATGAAGAGAGCGGAAAAAAATGGAACGGCCTTTCCAAGACCAGGGACAATCATGTCTCTGATTACATGGGAAAAATCACTGATGCCTGTGATTCAGTGGTGGTTCTCCTAGCTGAGCTTTAACTGAAGAGAGCACAAGTTTGAAGAACTGTAAGTACTGATCAACTTCATTTATGATGAAATGCTATGCTATCCTGTGAGTTTCCATAAATCTCCAGTTTGGAAATAGCTATTTATGAAAGGCATAATAGTACTAAATACAGTGTAGTTAATAGCACTATGATACGAAAAAAAAAAAGGAAGAAAATTCAAGTATTTAAATAAACAATAAACACCTGCATTCTCAAGTCCTATCTTACTTTTGTTTTCATAAAAAAAAACCACCCAGACTATGTACATTCAGTCTAACTAACCTTTTGAACCCACCAATAATAACTCTCCTGGCACTTTCACTCAAAAACAAACTAGGTGCTAGCACTGGGAAGCAAAATACTTTCAACATTATCCTTTGACTGTTTTAAACACCTTGCTTCCCAAAGCCACTGGTTCTAAAGTTAAATATTCCCAACAAGTTAAATATTTATTTTTTGACATTAAAATACCTGTAACTGTGATACTGCCTGTGGAAAAAATCTGTAAGGTAGCTCTGAGAGATTTTATTCTGTAACACACGGCAGGATGAAGTTCTGGTTCATAACTAGAAAACAAAATGAAAGGTAAAAAAGAGAGCTCGTGAACTGAAAAATAAAAATTTAAGAAGTATTCCAGGACTAAAATACTTTAAAATCCTACCATACCTCGCATGAGGTCTGTTATTCTTCGTAAATTCTGGCAATCTGATCTCAAAGGGCATGTTGCACACTGCTAAAACATTCACAACTTTAAAATCTGTGAAAATAACCTTTTCAAAAGAGGGAAAAAAGACATTAGAAATTTATAATGAATCAGATGTGAGAGTTAAAAAAAAAAAGAGGATACTACTTAGGATATTTTGATGAGATTTCAAAATTAAAACCTTGAGACTGATGCATTTCTAATAGGCATCTAAACAGTATTTAATGGACTCAGATAATTTACATTATCCTTCCATGTTGGACTAAGTATTGAACTAGATACCTCACAGTTGTATCATGGTCCCCACATCATTATGGTTATAGCATAGTTTAAGAACGAGACACAGAAACAACTCATACTGCTGTACTAAACAGTTCCCCACTGAAAAGAAACTAAATTTAACAGCTCATGGAACATCAAAGTAAGCACAGAAGAAGCTTAAATATCGTCGCGAACTTCTTTAATGCCTTGTTGCTATACACCATTATCATTAAAGCAAAGAATAAGAAAGGGGACAACTGTTCTGCTTTAAATGTCTAGTGGCCAGTGCAGCAAACTGTTTTTCTACTCTGTACCTTCCTGAAACCCAACTCAAAGTATTTTCTTTCAGTTATTCTTCACCACAGACATTTTAGATGACAACAAAATAACCAGCAGACAACTGCTACACAAAGGAACCCCACTGCTCAGAGGTCAGTGTTGGCGGTGTCACTTGGGAAACTTTTATTTTCTGAGATTGCTGAAACTTTAAATGGCTGTTCTTCTGTCTACACTTTTCAGAAAGATATTACTGGTAGAAGTAACTTAGCCTCATATCAATTGAATCTGCAAAATATGAAGTGCTCACTTTATTATAAAACTTGGTATGTCTAAACTGGAAGCACTGTGCACCTCACTGACTTTATGTTCCATTCCAGCTTTAAGAGATTGGGCCCAAAATACACATTTGTGACAGTAGGAGTGTCACACTTTTGCTGGGGTCTGATGCAGCTTTACCAGCACAGCCTGTCACYTTTGTCTTTATGTACTATCATCAAAAGGGTCTCTCCCCGAAAAGGGCAGCTACTGGGTCTCTTTAATTTTCTGTCCCTAAACTAAACCTGTGTGTAAACAGCACAACAGGCTATCAGGAAGTTTTAGWGTACTAAATGATGTCATTTTAAGTTGTTCATGTTGCTGTTTTTCAACCTTTGCTATGAAATGCAAGTGCTGTTCCTGACTGGAAATGTTAACCCAAACCCAGAAAAAAGAGGGAGTTTGCTGTCCTAAGTATTTTATTTGGTTTATTTCTAGCTGTGCAACCTGACAGCACAGGAGCATTTCTTTTCCTCCCTCTTTAGTTAAAGAGGCTCAAACTTGCCCTTATTAAGATGGAAATGTATCTGGTATTCCAGCAGAAACGAGTGAAAATTATGTTCAAATGACAGTACTCTTCAGAACTTTTTACAAATAGAATTTACAATATCCAGAAAGATTTATCTATGAAACATCTGTGGGTGGTTCATATATTAAACAAATTTTGTTGTTCATTATCTAGTGAAGAAGCACTACTCTCAGCTGCCAAACAAAACTCAAATCCACAAAACAAAACAGCTTATCTTTAACCAGCATCTGGAAAATGTATGCAGACACAAAATGGGCATCTGAATGAAAACACGCTTACTGATAAATTGTTATGCTCCCCCTTCTTTGTTTCTTCCTAAAAAATTGACTACCAACATTGCTTGAGTCAGACAAGTCCTTTTTCACCAAAATTACCTGAAAACCTAGTTTCTGTAGACTACGAGCTAATCGTCTGGCACCAAATTTAGCTTCTTCTTCACTATAAAGGAGAAAGAAAAGAATCTAGCATTAACAAAAATAGAGTGTATAGTTGTGCAGACACACGCCACAATAGCTACTCAGGCTACAAAATGAACCATTATATAATGTAGTGCATCAGCCAGGATCTCATGGACAGCCTTCATTTCAACCTACTCTAAATATCACATTTTAATTAGACAGACATTCAAATGGAGTCCTTTATGTCCTGTTTGAAGAATATTGTGGCACTTGGCTCCAGCTGAAGTGAGAGACAAGTTTTGGTCGTACATGATTTTAAGTACTCTTAACAGATAAATAAGATCACACGTAGTCTGGGGTCAGCCTCCTGAACAATCCTCTTTCATACTGGAACAGAGATCATACCTAGAAAGTATGCAAATTTGCTATTATACCTTACCTTACCCTTAATTCAAAATGCAGACATATCTTAAAGGAATTCAGCTGTTAAGAGTTTAGTGAGTCTCAGATGTATCTGAACTGAGAGCCTACTTTTGCTTCTTTCCAGTCCCTCAACACTGTAAAACTTCACTAAATACATGTGGGGTTTTGTGAAAAAATAAGAGTTATCCTCAAGAAACGTCATCCCTTCCCAAGTCTCAACTTCTAGCTAAACACACAGAATTCTTAAAGACTGCGCAAATCTCTTTAGAATTTTCTTAATAATGCAGTTTTCCCAGCTGCTCTCCCAAGAAGGCTGAACTGATGTTGCTTARGATCTCAATACAGTCTGAGGCAGATACTCCACATAAAAAACTTCCTCCCAAATACATAGTTTGATAAGAATCTACATATGATCCAGTGTGAGCAAATCTAAGCAGTGGSAAGTACTACCTCTTCTTCATTTACTTTAATGTTGTATTTTAAAATGCACAGGGATTTAGAGCTAGAGAAAGAATTTAGAGCTAGAGAAGAATCTACTCACCTTGTGGCTCCTGTGCAAATAACTTTTCCTGAGGACCAAATTGTGGCCGTAATCCTAGGYTTCCTAAGCTTCATTAAAACCTTCTAAAAAGAAGAGTGGAAAAATTGGAAATTAGCATTAATTCAATTTCATACTGTAAAAAAATTATCTGTTACCCAAGTCAACTAAAGTTACTCTAAAACTTCCTTTCTTTTTGATAGGCTTGTACTGTTCCTTCATCTCTTTCAGCAATTAAAAAACCCTAGCTCCTGAGAAGAGCAAAGTAAGCATGAAATATGTCAACCAATAATTCAGTGTACACAAAAAAAAAAAAAGAAGGTATTTTTCACTAAACAAAAAGCTGAAAACCACAAGCACGATTCTGATTTTTTCTTATTACAATCATATGACATTTCTGACTCCTTATCAAGAAATATTTTCTTGACACAGCAATCAAATTCTGGGAGACAAAACAGACCCTGATGTGTAAGAGGTCTCATCACATACCTTGTACTCAGCATTCACTTCACCTGGTGCTGTCTCCTGAGACAGCATTTCATYACTCCCATTACTGTACATGTAGTCTATTACTGACTAAATACCTACCACAAAAGAAATAAAAGAAATAAAATTCTGCTTTTCTCTATTTACCATACACAGGTATTAGGCAGAAGAATGTTTAGCTTAAGGAACATTTCTAAAAATGGATAACTGAAGTACATTGAATCTCTTACCCCAACATCACGCTTGTATATCACATTTGCTCCCTCTAATGCAATCTTCCTCAAGTTTAAATGACATCTTGTTCTAAAAACACACACTACATTTGTGATTAAAATGTCCAGTGCAACATCACTGTCCGCATCCATTGGGGTGATTTACAACTCAATTCTCCCACCAGCTCACCACGAAGATCACATCCTGAGAAGCAAAAATGATAAAATTAACCACAGCAATAGAAAATTGCCTGTTAATGCYATTGTATACATTTGACCCTTAAAAGAGACAGGAAGCAGAAGTGACTACACTCTGACTCATTTAACAGTGTGGGGAGGGGGAGTGTCTGCATCCTTTGTGCTAGAAAATAGGAGGTAATGTGTTTTAAGCCATGTTACYAGACTTAATAGCAATGAAGTGCATRTAYACATATATAATAATATATGTTACAATTCATACTAACTATATTAGGACACTGTAAAGATTACTGAAACTTCTGCCATAGCTCCAGTGGATAGTTTGTCCTCAGCTCATTTGAGGATGTCATTAGACACCTCAGGAAAATGCACTTCTCTGACTGCTGAAGTTGATAATTTTGAACAGTTTGACATTTGTGTTGGAATGGATGAGCCTATGAATAACTTTGAACTAACATGGGTTACACAAACTGCAGTCTGCAGACAACCTGCTACCACAGCTTTCCCATCTTCATCCAGCACTCTTGGCCTATCTCTCTTAATAATAGCTTAAAACAAACKATACGAAGTGTCTTGGTGGCAGCAACAGCCTGGGCTGACCCTCTCCACTGGCCACAGGAAAGCACTGTACAGGCAGAGGGAAACTGAGTGTTTCTGAAGAAAAGCACGGGTAACCATGAAGGCACAGGATGGCCGCCCAGAGCAGGCGCTGCAAACCTAAGGCACCCAGGAAGCATCCAGGCAGCCCATGAACATCAAAGGCACCACTCCTCACASACACCTCAACTGGGAAAGGCTACCATGCATCCCAGCCCAAGAACACCCGACATCTCTTCTGTAACCATACCAAAGCCAAGTCAGTAGACATCTCAAGTAAATCTTAGGTAAAGAAATAAAGAGGGGGGGAAACAGCAAGATCATTGGTATACAGTGAAAAGCACTTATATAAAAATTTTAGCAACATTTAATCCAAAATAAACAAAAAGGAAAGCAAGGAACAAAATCAAAGAAAAAACTGTCACATATGTGAAAAGCTCAATGTGGTCATTGCCAGAAGAGAAGCAGGACACTAGGCATCAAGAACAATAACATACCTAACAGACTATAATGTATTTATACCCCTTTAAATGTTTTGGCCTTATGTTCTATACTAGAAATCTTCAAGATACAACATTGTTGCTATCAGTACTTCCATCTGACATGACTTCAGAAACATCATGCCATAGTCTGTAATCGAGAACTTTGACTACCACTCACYGACAATAAGAAGTAACAAACTACAAGGCAGATGTGCACAACATACTGGGTCAATCACTGTGGTGGTTACTGCTTACACTCTGCAGCTTGTTCCCTGCTGAAAGAATTATTCTGTAATTGTTGGCTTGTCCAATAAGAAAAAGCAAGATGGATGATATACAGAAAAGAGATGAAGAAACAGCAAGAGGAAAACAGAAGAACCAAAGGTTATGTGTGGGGGTGGAGGGAATGCAGGCAAAGAAGAGAACAAACAGTAACTAATTAGTACTCCCAGATCCTTTTTTATCTTTTTTTATTGAACCAAATATTACGTGAATCCTCAAAGTTAGAAATTACTTATCCCATCTGGTTTTGATGGACTACTACAGATTGGGCAAGTAATTTATGGCACCAGATCCAAAGATAGCACATGTGCAGATTTTGAATGGCATGCAGGCAGGGCCAGCACSGAGCTGGAACCCGTGGCATCTTCAGAGAGGCATTTGTTTTCCACCCTGGCTCCAACTCCTGGCTCTTGCTGAGTTCATTTACTGGAACCATGAAAGATTGTCAACAAGATACYTCCAATCAGCAGTGTCTCCCAATTATCAGCAAGTGTTTGCTGGCACATTCAGTCTCTACATTCTGAAAGAAYACCACCGGCATGCATAACACCCTTGAAAGGTTGCTAACATCTAAGCAAACCATAGTAGTGTATGATAATGTCCCCATAAAACATGGCTTGTCTTAAAAAGATCCAGGGAGGAAAGTCACATGCTCATTCAGAACAAAGGAAAAAGTGGTTGAAAAGAGAGGAAAATTACAATTTAAAAGGAAGAGATCTATTATTAAGGAAAAAAGGAGGCTGTGGAGCTGTCAGTAAGCATGTTTTCAGCAATTACAATGTATCTTGGTTAAAAGTACAATCTACTTGCACAGATTTTAAGGGGAGAAAAATTACACAGATTACAATGGTGTGCCCCCATTTTCATTAGCCAAGTTCTGAAAGCTCAAGACAACAGACACTAAAGGAGGGGCTTTTTAATTTGGAATTGTATATATTATGTCAATGACATTGAAGACACCCATTCCTATTAAGCATACAAATACAAYGTTAAATGCTTCCAAGGCATGGTTTAGAAATATCGGTAAACAAAAATGTTTCTAGGCTTGGATACTGTTATCAAGCAGTAAGTAAGCACAACCTATCATAATCTTTGATTTAAGCATTCATTTTAACATCTAACACCTTACTTGCAAAAAAGAAAAAAAAAATCTAGAGAGAAGCTGTCCTGCTACTTTTCTTTGGGAAGTCTCAATAGCTTCAAATTCATAGCAACCATGAGAACAAGAGCAACTTACACTTTTTAAAAAAATAAAAATGCATGGACTACATTAAAAAAAGCAATCTGAAGAACATGTTTACAAAGCAGGTCTAACAATGCTCAAGAAAGAAAGATGTTGCTCTTATTTACACGTCTCTACAGCAGCATCACCAGCAGGAACATTCTGATCCTTCTCTTTCCCAGCTGTCTCTTGTATTYTCTGCTATTCACACACACTACTGTAGCATTGACTGTTATTTGCTAAAAGTGGAATTTCTGCATTTCTATTTATKTTCTCAAAATGGGAAAAATAGTGCTCCTTACATATAAGCCTGTTTTTATTCAGTATTTATGCAGTTACACTTGCAGAACAGAGCTTGAGCAGAAACCAAAGATCTGGTTCTTTCCAGTTCTGGATTTGTAAATGCTTAAGTTGATTTTATTGAGCTCAGCTTAGGTTTTGTTGATTAATTTTGCCCTTTGAAGGTTCTCTCATCTGAACTGTAGAATTTTGGCAGTCTGAATCTCATTTCTAAAATGATGTTTTGCCAGCTAATGCAGTAACAGGTTAAATTTRAAAATAATTTGTCTCCATGTACAGCATTTCTCTTAAATTATGTACTTCATTTGACTTTCTCCAGCACAAGAAACTAGCTAACTTTGATTTCAAGCTGTTTTGCACCACTGTAACACAATCTACCTTGACAGAGGAAATAAGTTTAAATACATCTCTGCAGAAGTTTGCATT